CACCTACGGTAGCTAGCCACAGAAGTCAGCTAGCTAGCTGGCTAACTTTTATCAACGTTTTTACTTCTGACACCAATGTAATGACCTGACTAGATCATAAAAGAACAACTGTCCAGACAGAGGATTGAGTTTACGAATGGACGGTTTATTAAACCAACTTTACACAGGCTACTGTTTGGCCGTAGCCCACGCCAAATAAATGAAAGATAACCCACAAGCCAATCGTGACCTTCTCTTGTGAAGCCCAGACGTAAAGAGTGAGAACAAAGGCTAAACCTGGTCTTAACTTCCAATGCTCCATCCCCCTGCCCAACCCCCCTCCACGCCACTCCGCCAACCGCCAGGATGCCCGGCATCAGAACATTACAGGCATTCCCGTGATTGGCAGATAGCAGGTTGATTGACATGTCGGACCCCGCGAACACTGGGTACTGGTAGGTACAACACAACCATCTACTAGCCTAACACATAACACACAGCTGTCTGTGCGGGTCGCTACAGTTTGGTCATTTATTCCAATAAATGTCAGAATTCCCAAAAAATATGTGTATGAAGCTAGCTACATTTTGTACGCTCCTCACTACGAGACTAAGGCAATTTGCCAACGCTAAAATCAATGTCATCTATGTCTTTTGTCTGACATGCCGAAAATGCAGCCATGCAAATTTGACACTTCGCGGAGTATGACAGGTGACTACAGTTTACATTGAATTGTGGGTCATATCAACCCCACAAGTGATCAAAGTTCTTCACTCGCTCCCTCAAGCTAAATCGAGTCCCAAGGGGACAACATTAGTGAATTGGACATCCACTTAAGATGGCAATCAAACTTCATCCGGTTGCGACAGGGATTCCACCAAGGGAAAGTGGCTAGCGCGAGGGCTGAGGGCTGAGGGGGTAAAAATATCCTGTTTGGACTGCAGCCATGGTCGCTTAATACGCTGTGGGTTAAAAAGGTGGATTTTGTAGCCTTCATTGCAACTGTTATCAACTGTATGGCAATAATATCGAAGATGTTGGACATCATTGTGGCTGCAGCTGAAAAGTATTTGGGACTTCAGGAGTTCACAGCGGAAGATCTACAAGGGGTATTGGCAATGGAAGATGTGCCCCCCCCCTCCTCCTCCCCTCCCGCACAGTAGGTGGCAGCAATACATGTTTTTGGGTGTACTCTGCCAATAAACCTTAAAGAAGAAGAATATGGAACCAAACATAGTTATTATTACATATGTGGCATAACATACTGTAGCTAGTGTTACAGCCTAGAGAGTTAGGGTCAACAACTAGTAAAGAATCAAGCCAATTGGTAGTCTAATAAACTGACTTCAGCGTGAGTCCAAACCGACGAACAACTATTCCGCACAGCCTACATTTCAGCAACCACAGCAACTTCTTTCACAATCGAAAAAGGCTGTCAAACCATATATTGCTTCTAGATCACAGACAAACAACCGCCGGTAAGCAGTCGTAATGGTGTGAGTGTTGTTACTGTTTTTCAGTGATGTTTTGATCTGTGGTGTCCGCCACAATGTGTTATTGGTAAGTAGGAAAACAATGGTGTACATTTTTAACTGACTATAAATTGCTCCTTTATAATGAGAGATAGTTAACACTTGTGTTGACAGGATCGGAAAGGGCAATGCCTTTGTGGATTTGGAGTGCGAGGGAGAAGTCATGGTTAGCCCACCATAGCCCAATAATGGACGAAAGGAGCCAAAAGTTACTCCTTATTGTCAAAGGACATTACATGTTCTGTTTAAAGGCGAAATGGCTCTGGAAGCCAAACCCGCTAAAACTCCATCTAAATGTAAATCGATTCTCAATTGCCTTACGGTTCTATGAACATAAATCCCTCGACTTTCATATCACATCAAAATTATTTCACAAATGCAAAATACACACTTACTGTACATGATTGATTGATATGATTTATTTAAGTGTCATACATATATATCGTGCCCATCCCACATGGGCTTATTTTCCTTGTATTCAAAACAAAATTTTACAAATTCTAACAATCATGGCAAGTACAGCTACCATCTAGCCACACTACACATCGTTTTAAAACAGTTGCAGCCGACAGTATTTTTCAGTGACAACACGTTTGTGGCGTCAGTCTTCCGTTTACACACAGGTGTTCAGAGACGCAGATAGCTAATTAGCACAGGTAGTCAACTCTGTCGTCATTGTTCTGTGTAATTGCGGGCTATTCTTTGGGTGCTGAAACCAGTGTTTTTTATATAGAAACTAAATGTTATGTGATGTCGGAGCTCCAGTAGTCGCCTCTCAACTCCATCCTAAATAGTTGAGTTTAATCATCTACTTCTCTGGGGACTTTTGTTAAGATTCCCGAGGCCTGCTCTAAAGGGTAACGAGCATCGCATACGGCTTTGGATACATAAGGAATGTATCCTTCATATCGGCGATATTACGACATCTTTTAGGTTAGAGTTTCCACACAGCCGTATCTTCATGTTACAGCGCTTGTTAACAGAAGACGGTGGCAGCCACCTGTGCTGATTCGCTATCTAGCTTGCTCCGATCACACGTGTAAGCATACAGTGCATTAGTTAAGTATTCAGACCCCTTGACCTTTTCCACATTTAGCCTTATTCTAAAATGGATAAGTTCTCATCCACACACAATAGGCCATAATGATGAAGCAAAAACAGGTTTAGACATTTTTGCAAATTTATAAAAATAAAAACGTATTGCATAGGTATTCAGACCCTTTACTCAGTACTTTGTTGAAGTATCTTTGGCAGCGATTACAGCCTCGAGTCTTCTTGGGTATGATGCTACAAGCTTGGCACACCTGTATTTGCGTACTTTCTCCCATTCTTCTCTGCAGATCCTCAAGCTCTGTCAGGTTGGATGGGCAGCTTCACTGCACAGCTATTTTCAGGCCTCTCCAGAGATGTTCGATCGGGTTCAAGTCCGGGCTCTGGCTGGGCCACTCAAGTACAGGCAGAGACTTATCCCGAAGCCACTCCTGCATTGTCTTGGCTGTGTGCTTAGGGTCGTTGTCCTGTTGGAAGGTGAACCTTTACACCAGTCAGGTCCTGAGCAGGTTTTCATGAAGGATCTCTCTGTACTTTGCTCTTTTCATCATTCCCTCGAGCCTGACTAGTTTCCCAGTCCCTGCCACTGTAAAAAAATTCACCACAGCATGATGCAGTCACCACCATGCTTCACCGTAGGGATGGTGCCAGGTTTCCTCCAGACGTGACACTTGGTCAAAGCGTTCAATCTTGATTTCATCAGACCAGAGAATCTTGTTTCTCATGGTCTGAGAGTCCTTTAGGTGCCTTTTTGCAAACTCAGAGCAGGCTGTCATGAGCCTTTTACTGAGGAGTGGCTTCTGTCTGGCCACTCTACCATAAAGGCCTGATTAGTGGAGTGCTGCAGAGATGGTTGTCCTTCTGGAAGTTTCTCCCATCTCCACAGAGGAACTCTGGAGCTCTGTGAGAGTAACCATCAGGTTCTTGGTCACCTCCCTGACCAAGGCCCTTCTCCCCCGATTGCTCAGTTTGGCCGTGCGGCCAGCTCTAGGAAGAGTCTTGGTGATTCCAAAATTCTTCCATTTAAGAATGATGGAGGCCACTGTGTTCTTGGGGACCTTCAATGCTGCAGAATATTTTGGGACCCTTCCCCAGATCTGTGCCTCGACACAAACTGAGCTCTACGGACAATTCCTTCAGCCTCATGGCTTGGTTTTTGTTCTGACATGCACTGTCAACTGTGGGACCTTAAATAGACAGGTGTGTGCCTTTCCAAATCATGTCCAATCAATTAAATTTACCACAGGTGGACTCCAATCAGGTTGTAGAAACATCTCAAGGATGATTAATGCAAACAGGATACACCTGCACTCAATTTCGAGTCTCATGGCAAAGGGTCTGAATACTTATGTAAGTAGGGTATGTTTTTTTATTTGTAATACATTTGCAAAAATTTATAAAAACCTGTTTTCACTTTGTCATTATTAATTTCAAAATAAGGCTGTAACGTAACAAAATGTGGAAAAAGTCAAGGGGTCTGAATACTTCCTGAATGCACTGTAACTGGGGAGGAAGTGCAGTTCGTCAACCGGAGGCACACACAGCATATGGATCTGTGCAAAACTGCTACGGGGTGGCAGGTAGCTTAGTGGGTAAGAGCGTTGTGCCAGTAACCGAAAGGTCGCTGGTTCTAATCCCCGAGCCGACTAGGTGAAAAATCTGTCGATGTGCCCTTAAGCAAGGCACTTAACCCTAATTGCTCATGTAAGTCGCTCTGGATAAGAGCGTCTGCTAAGTGACTAAAATGTAAAAATGCTACAGTAAGTGTATATTTTTATTTGAAAGATTCTTTCTCGCTGTTATTAATATGAAAGTTAAGGGGCATATCATCATATTTTCGGAAAACTGCTTCGCAAGCTATGATTGACGCGTTTTTCTAAACCATAAAACATAGCGTCGGAATTGCAGTTCACACTGAGCCAACTGTGGGCAAGGGTTTTTCGAGAGTAAAATTATGGCGAAACTTAAACTTTTTAATAGCATAATTCTATTCTAATCTGAGTAGCCTACATATTGAAGCGACCAACCCAACACCTAGCGACCTCTTCAAGGGGTTAACTGTTGTTTGCTTGACTGTCGCTGGTCCTGGGTTTGAGTCCTGATCGGGGCTACCCCGCGAATTCTCTACACTGGTGTCGGAAGTGGGATGGCGTTGGTTTTCGTTAATCCAAGAACCATGACCATTGACCAATCCTTCTGTATTTTTCTCAAATCCACAATGAGCAGCCTAGTGTAGAAAGAGGGCAGTGCTGTTATGTGACATAATGTATATTTCTACTCTCCCCACTCTTTACCAGGAAAAATAAGGAAAATTCAGTGGGATGTTGAAAATATCCTCTAAACCAGCAGAATGCTCGGCACCTGTGCAGGTGATAGTGCTGTTAATATTTCTACTTTTTTTAATGAAATTGATGGCATCTTTAATTGCAGGAAAAGGAGATGTCTGAAAACACATCAGGATCAAAGGAGAATCTAACCTCTTCTGAAAAACACTCTAAAACCAAAGAGGTAAGCATTTTGGTAGAATTTCTTGCTGTACTCGTTATTCATCAATATGGAATTTCAACTCAGAATGTTACTTACCTTTTAACTGGTAACTCTATAACACGTGTCTCTTTCTTTGTGTTTCAGGATAACCTATCTATACACAGTGATCTGTCAGCTAGCAGTGACCGTCTCTCAGACAAACCTCAAAAGGTGAGGCTGGTGTTACACAATGCAACTGGCATCCAATTTGTTTTGCATGCAACTAGGTTGCATTTGGATTGCTTCGTATCACACCCCCAGCAAATAATAAGCAACTCTTAATTTCTGTCTTTTTTATGTGTCTTTTTATGTCTTTATCTGTCAGAACAAACTGGTTGGAGCAATGAACAAGCTGAATCCTTTTAAATCAACTCCCAAAGTAAGACATCATAGCTGTTGTACTAGCCAATGAGATTACACTAATAAGATCCCTTACAGAAAAAACACATAATTTCACATGCGGAAAATCACATGATTTCATGTGAAATTTCAATTCAAATGTCATCACGTGAAATTCATGTGGTTTTTCCGTAAGGGATGCTTATTTTCTTTCATTATCATTATTATATGATAGTTTGAACTATGAAGATACAGTAATTAAATTATAAGGATGTTTTTGACTGATAGTTTGAATTGAATATGGTGGCAACATCTACAGCCCGAGAACGAACATATATACTGAACAAAAATATAAATGCAACATGCAACATTTTCTAAGATTTTACTGAGTTACTGTTCAGATAAGGAAATCAGTAAATTGAAATAAATAAATTAGGCCCTAATCTATAGATTTCACATGACTGGGAATACAGATATGCATCTGTTGGTCACAGATACCTTAAAAATAAAAGTAGGGGCGTGGATCAGAAAACCAGTCAGTATCTGGCGTGACCACCATTTGCCTCATGCAGCGCAACACATCTCCTTCGCATAGGGTTAATCAGGCTGTTGATTGTGCCCTGTGGAATGTTGTCCCACTCCACTTCAATGACTGTGCAAAGTTGCTGGATATTGGCGGGAACTGGAACACGCTGTCATACACGTCGATCCAGAGCATCCGAAACATGCTCAATGGGTGACATATCTGGTGAGTATGCAGGCCATGGAAGAGCTGGGACATTTTCAGCTTCCAGAAATTATCATGCTGAAATTATCATGCTGAAATAATAACCTCAATGAAACATGAGGTGATGGCGGCGGATGAATTGCACGACAATGGGACTCAGGATCTCGTCATGGTACTTCTGTGCGTTCAAATTGCCATCAATAAAATGCAATTGTTTTCGTTGTCTATAGCTTATGCCTGCCCATACCATAGCCCCACCGCCACCATGGGGTACTCTGTTCACAACGTTGACATCAGCAAACTGCTCGCCCACACGACGCCATACACATGGTGTGCGGTTGTGAGGCCGGATGGAGATACTGCTAAATTCTCTAAAATGACGTTGGAGGTGGCTTATGGTAAGGAAATTAACAAATTATTTGGCAACAGCTCTGAAGGACAATCCTGCAGTCAGCATGCCAATTGCATGCTCCCTCCAAAACTTGAGACATCTGTGGCATTGTGTTGTGTGACAAAACTGCACATTTTAGAGTGACCTTTTATTGTCCCCAGCACAAGGTGCACCTGTGTAATGATCAAGCTGTTTAATCAGCTTCTTGATATGCCACACCTGTCAGGTGGATGGATTATCTTGGCAAAGGAGGAATGCTCACAAATAGGGATTTAAACCAATTTGTGCACAACATTTGAGAGAAATAAGCTTTTTGTGCATATGAAAAATTTCTGGTATCTTTTTTTATTTCAGCTCACGAAACATGGGACCAACACTTTACATGTTGTGTTAATTTTTTTGTTCAGTATATTATTTATATATACATTGGTCCCATGTTTATATATACAGTTCATTCAGAAAGTATTCACACCCCTTGACTTTTTCCACATTTTGTTGTGTTACAGCCTGAATTTAAAATGGATTAAATTTAGAGTTTTTGTCACTGGCTAACACACAATACCCCATAATGTCAAAGTGGAATTATGTTTTTACAAGTTAATTAAAATGAAAAGCTGAAATGTCTCTAGTCAATAAGGATTCAACCCCGTTGTAATGGCAAGCCTAAATAAGTTCAGGAGTAAAAATGTGCTAAACAGGTCACATAATAAGTTGCAAGGACTCACTCTGTGTGCAATAATAGTGTTTAACATAATTTTTGAATGTCAACCTCATCTCTACACCCCACACATACAATTATATGTAAGGCCCCTCAGTCAAGCAGTGAATTTCAAACACAGATTCAACCACAAAGACCAGGAAGGTTTTCCAATGCCTCGCAAAGAAGGGCACCTATTGGAAGTTTACATACACTTAGGTTGGAGATATGTTTTTCAACCACTCCACAAAATTCTTGTTATCAAACTATCGTTTTGGCAAGTCGGTTAGAACATCTACTTTGTGCATGACACAAGAAATGTTTCCAACAATTGTTTACAGACAGATTATTTCACTTATAATTCACTGTATCACAATTCCAGTGGGTCAGAAGTTTACATACACTAAGTTGACTGTGCCTTTAAACAGCTTGGAAAATTCCAGAAAATGATGTCATGGCTTTAGAAGCTTCTGATAGGCTAATTGACATCATTTGAGTCAATTGGAGGTGTACCTGTGGATGTATTTCAAGGCCTACCTTCAAACTCAGTACCTCTTTGCTTGACATCATGGGAAAATCAAAAGAAATCAGCCAAGACCTCAGAATCTTTTTTGTAGACCTCCACAAGTCTAGTTCATCCTTGGGAGCAATTTCCAAACGCCTGAAGGTACCACGTTCATCTGTACAAACAATAGTACGCAAGTATAAACACCATGGGACCACGCAGCCGTCATACTGCTGAGGAAGGAGACGCGTTCTGTCTCCTAGAGATGAACATACTTTGGTGCCAAAAGTGCAAATCAATCCCAGAACAACAGCAAAGGACCTTGTGAAGATGCTGGATGAAACAGGTACAAAATTATCTATATCCACAGTAAAACGAGTCCTATATCGACATAACCTGAAAGGCCGCTCAGCAAGGAAGAAGCCACTGCTCCAAAACCGCCATAAAAAAGCCAGACTACGGTTTGCAACTGAACATGGGGACAAAGATCGTACTTTTTGGAGAAATGTCCTGTGGTCTGATGAAACAAAAATAGAACTGTTTGGCCATAATTACCATCGTTATGTTTGGAGGAAAAAGGGGGCTGCTTGCAAGCCGAAGAACATCATCCCAACCGTGAAGCACGAGGGTGGCAGCATCATGCTGTGGGGGTGCTTTGCTGCAGGAGGAACTGGTGCCCTTCACAAAATAGATGGCATCATGAGGAAGGAAAATTATGTGGATATATTGAAGCAACATCTCAAGACATCAGTCAGGAAGTTAAAGCTTGGTCGCAAATGGGTCTTCCAAATGGACAACGACCCCAAGCATACTTCCAAAGTTGTGGCAAAATGGCTTAAGGACAACAAAGTCAAGGTATTGGAGTGGCCATCACAAAGCCCTGACCTCAATCCTATAGTACATTTGTGGGCAGAACTGAAAAAGTGTGTGCGAGCAAGGAGGCCTACAAACCTGACTCAGTTACACCAGCTCTGTCAGGAGGAATGGGCCAGAATTTACCCAACTTATTGTGGGAAGCTTGTGGAAGGCTACCCGAAACGTTTGACCCAAGTTAAACAATTTAAAGGCAATGCTACCAAATACTAATTGAGTGTATGTAAACTTCTGACCCACTGGGAATGTGATGAAAGAAATAAAAGCTGAAATAAATAATTCTCTCTACTATTATTCTGACATTTCACATTCTTAAAATAAAGTGGTGATCCTAACTGACCTAAGACAGGGAATTTTTACTAGGATTAAATGTCAGGAATTGTGAAAAACTGAGTTTAAATATATTTGGCTAAGGAGTATGTAAACTTCCGACTTCAACTGTAGATGGGTAAAAATAAAAATAGCAGATACTGAATATCACTTTGAGCATTGTGAAGTTATTAATTACACTTTGGATGGTGTATCAACAAACCCAGTCACTACAAAGATACAGGCTTCCTTCCTAACTCAGTTCCCATATAAGAAGGAAACCGCTCAGGGATTTCATCATGAGGCCAACAATTACAGAGTTTAATGGCTGTGATGGGAGAAGACTGAGGATGGATCAACAACATTGTAGTTACTCCACAATACTAACCTAATTGACAGAGTGAAAAGAAGGCAGCCTGTACAGAATACAAATATTTCAAAACATGTATGCTGTTTGCAATGAGGCACTAAAGTAATACTGCAAAAAAATTTGTCAAAGCAATTAACTTTTTGTCCTGAATACAAAGTCTTATGTTTGGGGCAAATGAAATACAACACATTACTGAGTACCGCTCTCCATATTTTCAAGCATAGTGGTGGCTACATCATGTTATGGGTATGCTTGTAATTGTTAAGGACTGGGGAGTTTTTAAGGATAAAAAAATTAATGGAATGGAGCTAAGCACAGGCAAAGTCCTAGATTAAAACCTGGTTCAGTCTGCTTTCCACCAGACACGGAGATAAATTAACTTTTCAGCAGGATAATAACCTAAAACACAAGGCCAAATCTACACTGCACTGGAGTTGCTTACCAAGAAAACGGTGAATATTCCAGTGGCAGAGTTACAGTTTTTACTTAAATCTGCTTGAAAAACTATGGCAAGACTAAAATTGTTGTCTAGCAATGATCAACCACCAATTTGACAGAGCTTGAAGAATTTTGAAAAGAATAATGGGCAAATATTGTACAATCCAGGTGTGCAAAGCTCTTAGAGACTTACCCAGAAAGATTCACAGCTGTAATCACTGCCAAATGTGATTCTAACATGGATTGACTCAGGGGTGTGAATACTTATGTAAATGAGATATTTCTGTATTTCATTTTCAAGAAATTAGCAAACATTTCTAAAAACATGTTTTCACTTTGTCATGATGGGGTTTTGTGTGTAGATGGGTGAGGAAAACATTTTTTAAATCCATTTTGAATTTAGGCTGTAACACAACAAATTGTGGAGTAAGTCAAGCGGTATGAATACTTTCTGAAGGCACTGTAAATAAGGAACCAGGATCAGGCAGCTTTTCTGCCACCACAGAAAAGCTGCCCAGCCACAAACATTCCTTCCTATGCATGGCCCTGTTCATCTGTGACTGTTCCTGTTTCATTGTGTAATTCAAGTCGTACTGCATTTCATTACATGCCATTTATTTCTGTCAGAATTTCCATGGAGCCATATCAAAACTGAATCCATTCCACTCTTTAATTACAGTAAAGATTCCAATTAATATAATTAACATTGTTGGTGGTGGTGCTTGTAGCGATGATTATGATGATTGTGAAATGCAGAGATGTGTTAATGAATATGGTGAAAAGGATGATCCCTTTAAAATAACAATGACTTTCATTGTTCAGAAGGGCACTGAAGATTCAAAGTTACTTGGGGACAAGGAGAGGCAGGAGGAGGAAAAGCCAAAAACAGTGAGTTTGTTACATAATTTATACCACACACACATGCACACACACACACACACACGTTCTACTATCCTTGCGGGGACCTAAAATACATGACCATTCAAAATCTTATTTACCCTACACCTAACCACTAACCATAATTCTAATTCTAAACCTAAACCTAACCCCTAAGCTGAAAATAGCCTTTGTGATTGTGGGAAATGTCCCCACGAGAGATAATTTTCCTTGTTTTACTACCCTTGTGGGGAGGATAGAAAAACAAGACCACATACACAATCAAAGTTGCTTCTCTCTTTCGAAAGTCCCCTCTCTTCCTTGTCTCCACCTCTTCCTAAAGTTCCCACCAGCCTTTGCTTCTCTCTAACTCCCACAAAGTCACAGGAACATAACAGTGAGTGACTGAGTGTCCTTGTCAGGTCAAAAGCAATCTGATCCAGAGAGAGAGGAAGGAGAGAACTGAAACACAGCTGGCATTTCCTCCCAGACCCACTGAAGAGGTAGGCAAATGGCTCAAAATGCTCCTCCTTACCGTATGTGTCATTTTTAATATATCTCTGCTTAGGTTGTCTCTCACCATTCCACAGGAGCTGAAGGGTACAGCCTTACATGACAGACTGAAGAAGAGGGAGACGGACGACAATCAGGTACGGTTTACACCAGTCGTGTTCATTTCTGGATGTGTGTTATCTACAGTGGGGTCTGAATTTAGTCAAAGATCATACCCCCAAGACATGCTAACCTCTCACTATTACCATTAACGGGGAGGTTAGCATGTCTTGGGGGTATGATCTTTGACCCTCTAACTTTCTCACTCATCATTATTCACGATTAATTCAGGATTATCCAAAATCATGGTAGCATCCACAATAGGGCTGTCCCCGACAAAAATAAATAAATAAAATGTGTCGACAGAAAGTCGTCTGTTCTTTTGACCAATCGATTGGTAGACATTTTTTTACATTTATTTTTCCATATATAAACATTTACACTACCGTTCAAAAGTTTGGGGTCACTTAGAAATGTCCTTGTTTTCAAAAGAAAAGCAATTTTTTTGTCCATTAAAATAACATCAAATTGATCAGAAATACAGTATATACATTGTTAATGTTGTAAATGGCTATTGTAGCTGGAAACGGCAGATTTTTAATGGAATATCTACATAGGCGTACAGAGGCCCATTCTCAGCAACCATCAGTCCTGTGTTCCAATTGAACGTTGTGTTTGCTAATCGAAGTTTATCATTTTAAAAGGCTAATTGATCATTAGAAAACCCTTATGCAATTATGTTAGCACAGCTGAAAACTGTTTTGCTGATTAAAGAAGCAATAAGCCTTCTTGAGACTAGTTGAGTATCTGGAGCATCAGCAATTGTGGGTTCAATTACAGGCTCAAAATGGCCAGAAACAAATAACTTTCTTCTGAAACCCGTCAGTCTATTATTGTTCTGAGAAATGAAGGCTATTCCATGCAAGAAATTGCCAAGAAACTGAAGATCTCGTAAAATGCTGTGTACTGTTCCCTTCATAGAACAGCGCAAACTGGCTCTAACCAGAATAGAAAGAGGAGTGGGAGGCCCCGGTGCACAACTGAGCAAGAGGACAAATACATTAGAATGTCTAGTTTGAGAAACAGGCGCCTCACAGGTCCTCAACTGGCAGCTTCATTAAATAGTACCCGCAAAACACAAGTCTCAACGTCAACAGTGAAGAGGCGACTCTGGGATGCTGAACTTTTGGCAGAGTTGCAAAGAAAAAGCCATATCTCAGACTGCCCATCTTAATATTTTCTTTTTATTGGCCAGTCTGAGATATGGCTTTTTCTTTGCAACTCTGCCTAGAAGGTCAGCATCCCAGAGTCGCCTCTTCACTGTTGACATTGAGACTGGTGTTTTGCTGATGCTCCAGATACTCAACTAGTCTCAAGAAGGCCAGTTTTATTGCTTCTTTAATCAGCACAACAGTTTTCAGCTGTGCTAACATAATTGCAAAAGGGTTTTCTAATGATCAATTAGCCTTTTAAAATGATAAACTTAGATTAGCAAACACAACGTGCCATTGGAACACAGGACTGATGGTTGCTGATAATGGGCCTCTGTACGCCTATGTAGATATTCCATAAAAAATCTGCCATTTCCATGTACAATAGCCATTTACAACATTAACAATGTCTACACTGTATTTCTGATCAATTTGACAAAGAAATTGCTTTTCTTTCGAAAAGAAGGAAATTTGTAAGTGACCCCAAACTTTTGAACGGTAGTGTATGTGTTTAATAAAATCAACTATATGCATTGAGCTTACCTGATGCTTTAAGCTTACTGTTTGATTAAATATAACACAAATTACTCAAGAGGGAGCCAGAGAACTAGATAATCAACAAAAAAAGTAACCTGACCCAACCATTCTCCTCCCTCTCCTGCTGGCTTTCGCAGATTCTGCCATTACTCTCCTGGAGTTGCCGGTAATAGGCTAAATGAGGAGACGGCAACCTTTCTCATGTGGAATGCCAATTTATCTTACCATTTCTACCGACCTGTGTGCCAGTTATGGTTTTCATATGTACATTTTTGTGGAACAGTTTCATTTATAATAACGTCTTCATATTTCAAAATCCTTCTCATGTGATTAATCAAAATTAGATTCAAATCTAAATGAAAATGATACAAACCTATGTAAAAAATAGCCTACATAAAGCCAACAAATAAAAACATTATTTAGAAAATATCCTGATAAAAATAAATATCCTATAAATCACATTGGCTACACATGGCCTGTTTGCAACGAACTTGAAACATTGTATCAACTATTAACTTTGGTCTTGCCCGAAGCTTGTGCTAGCCAACTTGCAACATTGTATAAAATATTCTGGGCCCTCAGAGTTTCCGTGCCAGTGAGCTCGGGACAGACACAGCTGTAGGCTATTTGCGCAAGGGATAAAAAGCAGTGCTTGACTTGGGCAGGAGCTCACCGGAGCTGAGTACCGACATCTCACATTTTCTACTGCTTGAGCTCCTGTTCCTTTTATAGAATATTAGCTCAAAAGTATTGTGGAGCTCCAGTACTTAAACAGTACCAGCACCCAAAATGAGTACTGGAACCTATTTCAGTCCAAGTCAAGCACTGATAAAAAGTAAATCAGGTAGGCCTATTTGATGACGTTTCAACTGGATCAGAGCATGACATTTTTCCCTTTCACGCTGAGTGGTTATCGAAAGGGAGAGAGCTGGAAAGATTTTTAAAATACATTGAGGAATTATTGTCATTCTCAATGGATGTAAAAACAGACTTCATTTGCTTGCTGTTTGAGGTGAAGAAAACATTACTTTGAGAAGCTCTACAGCTCATTAGTGGTGGTGCATTAAGCCTGAAAATAGCTGTGCAGCGACACACCCCATCCAACCTGACAGAGCTTGAGCGGATCTGCAGAGAAGAATGGGAGAAACACCCCAAATACAGGTGTGCCAAGCTTGTAGCGACACACCCAAGAAGACTCATGGCTATAATCGCTGCCAAAGGTACTTCAACAAAGTACTGAATACTTTATGTAAATCTGATATTTCAGTTATTTATTTTTAATGAATTTACAAACAATTCTAAACCTGTTTTTGCTTTTGTCATTATGGGGTATTGTGTGTTGATGGATGAGGGGGGAAAAAAACATTTAATCCATTTTAGAACAAGGCTGTAACGTAACAATGTGGAAAAAGTCAAGGGGTCTAAATACTTTCCGAATGCACTGTTGCTCAGTATTTTAATTGTTTATTTTATACAGTCATTGTTGCTCATCTTTATCAAGGATGTCAATAATGTCGGACCCGTCTGTATATGCAGCGTACCGGTGTCTCTGTTTAATAAATGCACAATTGAGATAGTGACTGTATTTGTCCTTCTGGCTAATTCAGGCTAACCGTAATATGATCCCGAGCGAGAGGAAGGGGAAAACTGCTGTAACTCCAGTGGTTCCTCCCAGACCCACAGAAGAGGTAGGCTAGGATGATTCTGACTGATCAGGATTCATAATCATGTCTAAATGATCTGTATCTATCAGTTATCCTGTGTCATGGTGGCTCATATAGCAGGATTTTGTCTTATGTTTCCAGGAGATGAACAGACTAGCCAGACGTGGTCAGCAAAAACCTAAAAAATACAATCCGGTAAGCACACGCACACACACATGCACATACACACACACACACACACACTCACTCCTTATCTGTAATTTATTTTCTAGGACCAATCTGACGATCAATGCCTTAAAGAGGGTGAATCTCTCTTCCCGGTGGAAAAAGAGGAGGAAGAGGACAAGGACAGAGAGGAGGCCAAGGTTAACCCTACAGATAGCACAGCAGTAAGAGTTTGTTTTCATCATATTTTCTACATCCCCTAGACCTGGGCCTGTATCCACAAAGCCTCTCGGAGTAGGAGTGCTGATCTAGGATCAGGTTTGGTTTTTAGATCGTAATTAATATGATTATATGGACAGGTGGGGTCCTGATCCTAGATCAGCACTCCTACTCTGAGTCGCTTTAGGAATATGGACACAGTGCTCCATCCTTGCTGTGGCCATGCAAATATCTTTCCAGATTTTCTCACAATGTTTCTAAAAGTCACTATGAGGTAACTAAATGAACACTTCCCTTTACGTTAACGTATTAATTTGTATTCTGTTGTTCTTAGGCCAAGGTGAAAATACCCACGAGACACAATCCGTTCATGCCACGTGGTGCTGGAGGCAAGGTAACATTCAAACCTCTATTTTCATGCACTTATCTGTTGATCTCCCATTGTGTACATTACCGTTCCCTTCCTCCAGGTGTTAACTATAGTTTGTGTGGGGGTTTACAATATACATGTTATGGTTCCGTTGTGGGATAACTAGATAGTACTGTAGTGTAAAAGTTGTTATATTTGACTTGTGTCTGTTTCAGGGTAAAGCCATGCAGAAGAAGAGTGAACCCCAGCAGGGAGTTACAGGCAGTGACTCAACAGAGGTAGCTCTGCACCCTGACTCTCCTACTAACACTGTTCTACCACATACCGGTACTGTTGTAATGGATAACTACTGTACAACCATCACGCCTGAGTTATTTTTTGTGTGTATCCTACGGCTTGACTGCCCAAGCTGACAGACTGAAAAGTGTCCCAGCATTGCAAAATGGCCGTCACATTAGATGACTAGCTCTTTTTTTCTAGGTCACCAGAAAGATTTTCCCACAGGGTATTCTCTGACTCCCAACTAAGAAAATGATGGTCAGGTGGTGTTTTTTTCTCTCTTCTGTTCTTTTTTTCTTTCTCTACCTATCAAACACCCAGCCACACACCACCTCGCCCCTTCCTTTGCATTGCGAATTAGATTAGATTGCTATTTGCCTAAACTTGTTCCCCTACTTCCTGTATCTTTGAACCCAGGAAGATTTTAGATCCTCCACTTCTGCAAAACAGCAGAGAAAGGAACTGAAATCTAAAATCGCAACTTGAAATCTGAAACTGACCACATATGTTCTCATTTCTGGCTTGTGAATCTGATCTCTTTTTGAATAATTGTCTCCATATCTTTGTTGCTCACTACAATGTTGCTACTCTGGCATGACAAACATTGGTTTGCCAAGACATATTCTAAATATCTTTAGTGTGTAGAATGTATACATAACAACATGTAATTTATCACCCCCGCCCTCTCTCAGAACAAAGATGGAAATAAATCATTATTCGACCAATTGGAGGTATTCCGTATTAATCCAGCTGAGCCAGAGAATCAGGTTGGTTTCTGTAAACAATGTTAATAATATCTGTGCTCTTAAATACCCACAGACTTTTCACACTTGGTTTCCTCTCACTAACTGCCATGGAGTTGTGCATTTGATTGAAATAGATTTTTGATTGAAAGCTGACTTAGGAAGATGTGTCTCTCAGCAGAATATGGATGGCCTGATGGAGTGGTGGAGCACAGTGGAGCGTGAGTCCAACACGCACACATACACACAGTACTGGCATAGGGGTATTCCTTAGACTTGATCCAAATGATGCCCTTTCTCTTTTGCTGCAGAGTGGGAAGACATGCCTCAAGAGGATGACATGACTGAAAAAGAGGAGGCCAAGTAAGTGATTCTACAGTTGGGTGTTACCTTATGTGCATGCACCTGTATAGAACAGCCATGTTCTAAAGCTGGTAATTGGGTAATTCATACTATAGTTAGTAAGCATGGATAATACTAATTCATCTAAACTTGTTTTTTCAGGGTGTTTGCAGTGACAGCTGAGAAGGTGCAGAAAGGTATCCGTGTGTTCAACAAGCTGTTCTCAGAGCGTGCAGAGAGCCTGTGGCAGCACGTCATTGACCTTAACAGCATTGCAGACGCCCTCGACTGTTTCAACAAGAAGACCAAGATCGCTCAAATCACTGGCGGCTCCACCAGCGCTGTAGGAGGCGTATGTACCATTGTAGGCCTCGCCCTGGCCCCCGTCACTTTCGGAACCTCCCTGATTGTCACGGCAGTGGGGCTGGGAGTAGCCACGGCGGGCGGCCTCACCACGGCTGGAGCCGGAATCTCCAACACGGTCAACAACTCCATGGACCGCAAGAAGGTGGAGGCCATCGTGACGGACTACCAGGAAAAGATGAACGACATCAACAAGTGCATGCTGTTCATCAAGCAGGGGATTGAGAGCCTGCGCAGGTTCGACCTGCTGAAGATGAAGAAGCATGCGTACAACCGCGACTTCCCGGGTCTCAACAACATCTACGAGGATGGCGCCATGGCTGGGAAGGCCATCCTCATTAACGCCAATGAGATGATGCGTGTGGTGCAGATCGCCAACGTGGCGGGCAGCACCGCAGCCAGAGCTGTCCAGATTGCCAGCATGGCCACCGGAGTGCTCACTGGCCTCTTTGTGGGCATGGACATCTATTTTGTGGCCAAGGACTCCAAGGAGCTGAAGAAGGGAGCCAAGTCAGAGTTTGCTGCCAAGATCAGGGAGGTGGCGACCCAGCTGCATGATGGACTGGTGGAGCTCAATGGCATACGGGTTGAGCTGCAGTCCTCAGATCCAGGCAACACCAATGAGACCAACACCCCAGACACAGATAATACCAATTATAGCAAAAAACTGGACGTCTCTGATGACTATACTGACAACTATAAAACCTCTGACAACAAAAGCATTGTTGATAACAGCAATACTTCAGATAACAGCCATCAGACCAGAAAATCCTAAACTGTATTTCCAACCCATCTCAACAACGACACATCCTGTCAGCATTAACACTACTAGGAGCAACGTTGAGGCTCTGATTCCTAAGTCTCTCTTTGATAGCACAAGCACCCATGCCTGAAACTGTTTCTTTTTTACAGACTGCAAAGATAGAAACAGATGACATCTCCAGTCATCACTGGCTTGGGTTAAGAACTGTTATTAAAATAAGTATTTTGTACGACAAGATCATGTCCGCATTTTCCGTTGTGTTGCCCCAAAGAGTTGTATTGTTGTTGTGTGCATTGTGCCTGTCTTGACAATATTATATACAGTACTTTATGAAAAGTAAGGGTTGTAAGTTAAAGCTGTTTGTTCATGGGGGCAGGAAATAGTTCACAGATGCAAATGATAGAATTATGTTTATTTTTTACAAATACAAATACATTCTCATTAAGGAAGGAATCAGTCTATCTATATTTTCAAATAGAGACTAATGTAAAAAGCTAAACGTAATATTTTAAAGTTCAGCCAAATATTTTGATGGTTTAGATTTTTGATAGGATATAGATCTAGCTAGATATATATGTACAGTTGAAGTCGGAAGAAGCATACGTACAGGTTGGAGTCATTAAAACTTGTTTTTCAACCACGACACACATTTCTTGTTAACAAACTATAGTTTTGGCAAGTCGGTTAGGACATCTACTTTGTGCATGACACAAGTACTTTTTCCAACAATTGTTTACAGACAGATTATTTCACTTATAATTCACTGTATCACAATGCCACTGGGTCAGAAGTTTACATACACTAAGTTGACTGTGCCTTTAAACAGCTTGGAAAATTCCAGAAAATGATGTCATGGCTTTAGAAGCTTCTGATAGGCTAATTGACATAATTTGAGTCAATTGGAGGTGTACATGTGGATGTATTTCAAGGCCTACCTTCAAACTCAGTGCCTCTTTGCTTGACATCATGGGAAAATCAAAATAAATCAGCCAAGTCCTCAGAAAAACTAATTGTAGACCCCCACAAGTCTGATTCATCGTTGGGAGAAATTTCCAAACGCCTGAAGGTACCACGTTCATCTGTACAAACAATAGTACATTTTAGTCATTTAGCAGACGCTCTTATCCAGAGCGACTTACAGTTAGTGCATACATTTTTATTTTTTATACTGGAATCAAACCCACAACCCTGGCGTTGCAAATGCCATGCTCTACCAACTGAGCTACATCCCTGCCGGCCATTCCCTCCCCTACCCTGGACGAATTGTGCGCCGCCCCATGGGTCACCCGGTCGCGACAGAGCCTGGATTCGAACCAGGATCTCTAGTGGCACAGCTAGCACTGCGATGCAGTGCCTTAGACCACTGCGCCACTCAGGAGTACGCAAGTATAAACACCATGGAACCACGCAGCCGTCATACCGCTCAGGAAGGAGATGCGTTCTGTCTCCTAGAGATGAACTTACTTTGGTGTGAAAAGTGCAAATCAATCCCAGAACAATGGCTGAAGATGCTGGAGGAAACAGGTACAAATGTATCTATATCCACAGTAAAACAAGTCCTATATTGACATAACCTAAAAGGCAGCTCAGCAAGGAAGAAGCTACTGCTCCAAAACCACCATAAAAAAGCCAGACTACGGTTTGCAACTGAACATGGGGACAAAGATCATACTTTTTGGAGAAATGTCCTCTGGTCTGATGAAACAAAAATAGAACTGGCCATAATGACCTCGTTATGTTTGGAGGAAAAATGGGGGTGCTTGCAAGCCGAAGAACACCATCCCAACCGTGAAGCACAGGGATGGCAGCATCATGCTGTGGGGTGCTTTGCTTCAGGAGGGACTGGTGCACTTCACAAAATAGATTGCATCATGAGGAAGGAAAATTATGTGGATATATTGAAGCAACATCTCAAGACATCAGTCAGGAAGTTAAAGCTTGGTCGCAAATGGGTCTTCCAAATGGACAACGACCCCAAGCATACTTCCAAAGTTGACATTATGACATTTCACATTCTTAAAATAAAGTGGTGATCCTAACTGACCTAAAACAGGGAATTTTTACTAGGATTAAATGTCAGGAATTGTGAAAAACTGAGTTTAAATGTATTTGGCAAAGGTGTATGTAAACGTCTGACTTCAACTGTATATAGATAATGTATGTGTGTGTGGATATATACACTACCAGTCAAAAGTCTGGACACGCCTACTCATTCAAGGTTTTTTCTTTATTTTTACTATTTTCTACATTGTTGAATAATATTGAAGACATCAAAACTATGAAATAACACATATGGAATCATGTAGTAACCAAAAAAAAAGTGTTAAACAAATCAAAATATATTTTATATTTCAGATTCTTCAAATAGCCAACCTTTGCCTTGAGGACAGCTTTGCACACTGTTGGCATTCTCTCAACCAGCTTCATGAGGTAGTCACCTGGAATGCATGTCAATTAACAGGTGTGCCTTCTTAAAAGTTAATTTGTAGAATTTATTTCCTTCTTAATGCGTTTGAGCCAATCAGTTGTGTTGTGACAGGGGGGTTATACAGAAGATAGCCCTATTTGGTAAAAGACCAAGTCCATATTATGGCAAGAACAGCTCAACTAAGCAAAGAGAAACGACAGTCCATCATTACTTTAAGACGTGAAGGTCAGTCATGTCAATCGTTTATTTAAGTGCAGTCGCAAAAACCATCAAGCGCTATGATGAAACTGGCTCTCATGAGAACCGCCACAGGAAAGGAAGACCCAGAGTTACCTCTGCTGCAGAGGATTAGTTCATTAGAGTTACCAGCCTCAGAGATTTTGGGTTCCAACCGCTGTGTCTTTGTGAGACGCGGTGTGTGTGAACGGATGATCTCCATGTGTAGTTCCCACAGTAAAGCATGGAGGAGGAGGTGTATTGGTGTGGGGGTCCTTTGCTGGTGACACTGTGATTTATTTAGAATTCAAGGCACACTTAACCAGCATGGCTACCACAGCATTCTGCAACAATACGCCATCTCATCTGGTTTGGGCTTCATTTGTTTTTCAACAGGACAATGACCCAACACACCTCCAGGCTGTGTAAGGGCTAATTTACCAAGGAGGAGAGTGATGGAGTGCTGCATCAGATGACCTGGCCTCCACAATACCCCAACCTCAACCCAATTGGGATGGTTTGGGATGAGTAAGGAAAAGCAGACAAAAGGTGCTCAGTATATGTGGGAACTCCTTCAAGACTTTTGGAAAAGCTTTCCAGGTGAAGCTGGTTGAGAGAATGCCAAGCGTGTGCAAAGCTGTCATCAAGGCAAAGTGTGGCTATTTGAAGAATCTCAAATATAAAATATTTTGATTTGTTTAACACTTTTTTTGGTTACTACATGATTTCATTTGTGTTATTTCATAGTTTTGATGTCTTCACTATTATTCAATGTAGAAAATAGTAAAAATAAAGAAAACCCTTGAATGAGTAGGTGTGTCCAAACTTTTGATAGATATATATCTCTATGTGTGTATATACATGCATACATACATACACATACAGTGCATTCGGAAAGTATTCAGACTTTTTCCACATTGTTGTTACAGCCATATTCTAAAATGGATTAAATTGTTATTTTTCCCCCCTCATCAATCTACTACACACAATACCCCATAATGACAATGCAAAAACGGGGTTAAAAAAACAATTATTCAGACCCTTTACTCAGTACTTTTTTGATGCACCTATGACGCTACAAGCTTGGCACACCTGTATTTGGGAGTTTCTCCCATTCTTCTCTGCAGATCCTCTCCAGCTCTGTCAGGTTGGATATGGAGCGTCACTGCACAGGTATTTTCAGGTCTCTTCAGAGATGCTTGATCGGGTTTAAGTCGGGGCTGTGGCTGGGCCACTCAAGGACATTCAGAGACTTGTACCGAAGCCACTCCTGCGTTGTCTTGGCTGTGTGCTTAGGGTCCTTGTCCTGTTGGAAGGTGAACTTTCGCCCCAGTCTGAGGTCCTGAGCGCTCTGGACCAGGTTTTCATCAAGGATCTATTTGTACTTTGCTCCGTTCATCTTTCCCTTGATCCTGACTAGTCTCCCAGTCCCTACCGCTGAAAAACATCCCCACAGCATGATGCTGCCACCACCATACTTCACCGTAGGGATGGTGCCAGGTTTCTTCAAGGTGCCAGGTTTCTTCCAGACGTGACGCTTGGCATTCAAGCCAAAGAGTTCAATCTTGGTTTCATCAGACCAGAGAATCTTGCTTCTCATGGTCTGAGAGTCTTTAGGTGCCTTTTTGCAAACTCATAGCAGGCTGTCTTGAGCCTTTTACTGAGGAGTGGCTTCCGTCTGGCCACTCTACCATAAAGGCTTGATTAGTGGAGTGCTGCAGAGATGGTTGTCCTTCTGGAAGTTTCTCCCATCTCCACAGAGGAACTCAAAAGCTCTGTCAGCGTGACCATCGGGTTCTTGGTCACCTCCCTGACCAAGGCCCTTCTCCCCCGATTGCTCAGTTTGGCCGGGCGGCCAGCTCTAGGAAGAGTCTTGGTGGTTCCAAACGTCTTCCATATAAGAATGATGGCCACTGTTTTCTTGGGGACCTTCTATGCTGCAGAAATGTTTTGGGACCCGTCCCCAGGTCTGTGCCTCGACACAATCCTGTCTCGGAGCTCTACGGACAATTCCTTCAACCTCATGGTATGCGCTGTCAACTGTGGGACCTTATATAGACAGGTGTGTGCCTTTCCAAATCATGTCCAATCAATTAAATTTACCACAGGTGGACTCCAATCAAGTTGTAGAAACATGTCAAGGATGATGGAAACAGGATGCACCTGAGCTCAATTTCTAGTCTCATAGCAAAGGGTCTGAATACTTATGTAAACAAGGTATTTCTGTAAACAAGATTTCTAAAAACCTGTTTTTGCTTTGTCGTTATGGGGTTTTGTGTGTAGATTGCTGGGGAAATTGTTTTATTTAATACATTTTAGAATAAGGCTGTAACGTAACAATGTGGAAAAGTCAAGGGGTCTGAATACTTTCCGAAGGCACTATATATCTATGTGGGGTAGGGGTTTAGTCACTTGCTTATTGCATTGCTTCATTTTTGGCCCAGCGTCGTCCAGGGTAGGGGAGGGAATGGCCGGCAGGGATGTAGCTCAGTTGGTAGAGCATGGCGTTTGCAACGCCAGGGTTGTGGGTTCGATTCCTATGGGTGGCCAGTATGAGAAGAAAAAAAAAATGTATGCACTAACTGTAAGTCGCTCTGGATAAGAGCGTCTGCTAAATGACTAAAATGTAATGTAAATGTAAATTTTTAGGTAGGTCAGGGAATATTAGTTTATATTGAAACATTCATGTTTTTAATTAAGTCTAACTTTTATTTTAGATTAGTAATGTATGTTCTATTACTGAGTAGTGCCTTACTCATTTATATGAAGTCTTATATAAATGAAGTCTCACTTTAGGATTATTCTATTTGCCTGTCTCGGGTTGGAAAGGTCTCACAGCTGCTATGCAATTCAGTCCCTGCGTCTCCCCTGTCTCCACCTGTGTGTGGTGCTGATGCTGGATAAGTGATCTCTCACTCTCTCTCTCTTCTACTCACTGACAAAATGGAGACCCTTCTTTTCAAAGGACAGGGTCTGAGATGCTTTT